GGCCGGGACGGAGCCGCCGCAGGAAGAGGGGCCGGAGAGACCCCCCTCGGCGGCAGCCGGCGGCGGGGGCCCCGGCTCTGCACTCCCCGCCGCCCCGGCACCGGGCTCACGAAGCTGAGGAGCCACCATCCTGCAGCGAAGAGGAGCCCCTTGCCCGTCACCACCGCGGGGCTGCCGGGGACAGAGTGTGAGCTCGGCCCCACTCTGAGCAAGACCTTGCCAGGGTCTCTCAACAGCGTCAGGAAGGTGCACACGGGTGCAAACCCTCTACCATCACTTTTGTCCCCGCTTGGCTGAGCCCTGCAACTGAACATGCCGAGAAAAGCGCTTTCCACCCACCAGCACAGGCAGAGCCACAGGCAGGCAGGAAACTCACACCAGAAACGAGCTAAAAAGGTTTGCTTTAAAAACAGGCAGAAGTGACACGGCACCGCTAGCTCTGCCAAGGAGAACACCACGGTGCAAATGACACTTGGGCATGCTGCCGGTAACACTGCTCCGCACCAGCCACCGGTGCAGGAGCAGGAAGGGAGGCGTGAACACTGTGTGGCTGCTTATGTTACTGCCGCGGCAGGAGGGCCCTGCCTGGTGAGCAGAGGGGCACCGTGAGTCCCAGCCCTCACACAGGAGCAGGCAAAACGGGCAGTGCTGCCTGCAGAGGGGCTCCAGCCAAGCAGGCAGCTCCCCATAGCGCTGCCAAAGAAAGGAAGGCCATTTTCTCCAGGCATCCTGTCACACAAGCTCCCAGGATGCTTGTGCGCAGGCACGGAGGCTCCTGGTAGGACTGAAAAGGCATGTCACACATCGGAGAGGGGATAGCTTGAAGCAGGAGCCCGGCCCGGGACTTTGCCTGCATGCAACAGGAAGCAGGGGCTGTCCCAGTCCAGAGCCCCTCGGGCCTGCGAGGTGGCATCACTATCCATCCCACCGCTGGCTCGGGGTGTCCTTCTCCGTGCAGGCCAGGTAGCGGTCGTAGTTCTCCTCGCACCTCCTCACACAGCGCAGGAAATAGTCCTCGTTGGCAATGGCCTCCAGCAGGTCATTCTGCACCAAGCAAACGTCGTACAGCTCCGAGGTGGGAGCATGCCTGGGGCTGCTGCTGCCCAGCTCCGAAAACACCTGAGGGGAGAGAGCAGCGCACAGAAGCACTCGCACCCTCCGCCGGCAGCAGTGCCAGGGCTGTGCCCAGCATGAGTGCAGAGCCCGGCAGCAGCGCACGCACCCTGCGGTGCACCCTGCCCTCCTCCTTGGCCAGGCACCTTCATGCTGGCTGTGGATCGGTGGCAGAGGGCAGGGACTTCCATCTCCACTCCAGCAACAGAAAGTGAAGTTTCTCCACATTTCCCCTCCCTCCCAGAAAGCGCCTTTGGCTCTGAACCAGCTTGTCACACATGGGGCTGGGACTCCCCTAAGGAATAGGCCATGCCACACAGCTGGAAGAAAATGGCTCTGTGGAGCAGCTGACCCCAGGAAAACCTCTGCCAACAGCTCTTCCTTTGGCTGCCACAGCCTGTCGCACAGGAGGGACTTCACCTTCTGATCTTTACCATGGCTCTGCCTAAGGCCACCTGGCAATCTGCTTCCTTCCCAGTGCTGCTCTGTCACCGTCACTGACATGGGGACAGCCCTGCAGAGCTGGTGACGCAAGAGGAGGGGAAGCTGGCATCCAACCTCCTGATCCTGGCTGCAGGACAGCAAAGTCCCAGCAGCGGTGATAAGCCCTGCTGGCGAGATGCTCGGCTGCTGCCCAGACCCCAGCAAGGTCTGCTGCCATCATAACTTGATCCTATCTGTCTGATCTGGTGTGGGGAGAGCCCTAGGGCTGGCTGTACAGCTGCCCTGAGACAAGCTGAGCAGCCTGACTGACCAGCCATGCCCGCTACAGATGGCGAAAGGAGGAACTCCTTGATCAGGGAAACAGCCTGAGGCTGAACTGCAGCAGGTGGAGCTGCATGAGCCATGCTCCGGCTCTTGCAGACAGCTGCTGTGCGCAGGGTCCTCAGGCTCTCAGCAGAGCCGTCCGCAGCAACTCCCCTGAATCAGGTACAGCACAGACCAAAGCCCGTTCCTGACAGGTCTGCTCCAGGCAGCAACAACTCCTGCCACCAGCTACAAATCCACGAGCATCCCATCCCTCGCCACTCCCTGGCTGCCTGGGAAATGCTGCCAACCATTTTCCTCCCCCGAGCTGTGTCTTCCTGGATGGAAACAGGCAGGGTTCAGGCTTGCCTGTGTATCTGCAGCTCTTGTTCAAGGATGGACAGTTGTCCAACTGCCAGGCACATTTCTGTCTGCATAAACATTCCCTTTTTCCAAGTGTGTTCTGCCACAAACACTGCCCTTTCGATTCGGTGCCACAGATGAGCCACGGCCGCATGCTAAGGCTGGCTGGCCTGCCACCATTGCCGCTGTTGCCGGGAGCAGGGCTGACTCACCCCGGCGGAGCAGAGGCACTCAGTGGTGAGAGCAGGCAGCCAGCACCTGCTGTTCTCTGCTGATGGCCGATCTCACCCTCCCCGTGGGCAGCCCCATGCATCGCTGCCACCAACACTGGTGGCGTGGGGTGCAGTGACACCAGGGCTGCACCTTGATCCCCCTTTTACAGGCTGTTGCTCATGCAAAGGGGACAAAATGTGCCTGACCTCACTGGGGACACCCCCCAGCACAGGCAGCTGGCGCCGAAGGGGCCTTCAGCCGCCTACCTGGGGATGAACAATGGTGTCCTCATCGTCCAGCCGGATGTTGTCATCAATGAAGATGTGGTGAATGCTGGGATCATGGGGGTCAATCCACAGGGGCTTCCCACCCCGGGAAGAGAACTGATTTCTGGCCCACCTGAAATAGCAAGCATGACAAGGAGCAATCAGGGGAGGGAGAGGGCGACAGCTCTCAGGTAAAGGCAGGCCAGGCTGCACTGCAGGCACAGGGCAACAACGTCTGAGCCAGGGAAGCGGGATGGAGACCATCCTGTCCCTCTGCCTGCTGCTGCCTCCTGGTAAAGAGGCATTTTGTAGCAAGATGACAAATCAGGGGGTGTTTGGAGAAAAGCAGGAGGTACACCAGGAGATGGGGACCTCAGGAAAAATGCAAGAACCCCACCAGGCTGCCCACAGGCAAAACTGGGAACACATAAGTGATAGGGGCCCCAGTAACGTAAAGACCTCAAAACTAGGAGCTATCCCAGACCGGCAGAAGCTCAGAGAATCACAGGAGAGAAGAAAATGCCCCATCCACTTCCTCAGTGCCCTGTTTCTCACCAGTCAAAGTGGTCTTGGAAGCCTCCAATTCCCTCAAAGGAGCTGAAGTAGTCATAAAGCTTTCTTCCATCTTCCCGGGTGGCCAGCCGCTCTGCTCCCCTTGTCAGCACCACCTCTCGCTTGCTGCAGCGTATCTGGCCAGGGTGGAGGTCCACAGGGAGCTGCAGGATGGCAGAAACCAGGAGAAGAAAGGTTTCCAAAGCAGACAAAGGTTTCGTGCATTAGCAGAGACACCAAGCAGCAGGGTGGAGATTCCCCACCACTGCAGGGTGGGAGGATGATGCTGGGGAAAGACAAGAGGAAGCATGGAACCCCACCCAACCAAAAGTCATCCCCTCCCCAGGGATGGAAAGGAATGACCTCCTAGCTGCACGCTGCCCCCATTTTAACTTCTGTTCCCCATCAATGCTCCAAGGAACAACTGAAGCAGTTTCTGAAGCTCATTCCCAGCATTCCTGCCCGGTGTACTGCCAGGGGGAGAGCATGGTTGCGATCGGCTCTGAGCCAGGGAGACCCGCTCTGCTGCGGTGGCCCCTCTCCGGGAGAGGGAATGCTCTGTCTGACCCAGGATACCCCAAGAGGAGACCTTTCCCACACAGGATCCGCAGGCACACGTGCTCCCCCCTGGCTAACAGCTTCATCCCAAAAGGCTGGCTGCGTTTCCTCTCCACAGAAGCTGGTGCTTTGGAAAGCAGGCCAGCTAAGCGCCTCGAGAGCAGCCTGGCACAGGGAGCTCCGTGCAGGCCATCCGGCTGCCCTTCTCCAGCACGCCGGGCCCCGGGGGTGCCACTCACCGACACGTCCCGCAGGGTGGGGAACTGGGGGTGCTGCCCAGCCAGGGCACAGCTGACGGCCCGGAGGGCTCGGGGCAGGTCTGTGCCGAAGGTCCTGAAGATGACGGCGAACGTCCTCCCTTCCCGGTGCAGGGTGTCCAGGAGGCGGAAGAAGGCGGGCAGGATCAGGTGGTAGCTCTTGCTGGGTTCCCCCTGTACTGAGAAGACGTCGTGCGGCCGGCCCGGCCACTCCAGCAGCTGCAGGTGGCGGGCGTGGAGGCCGCCGAAGCACCGGCCCGGGCCCGCCTCGGTGAAGGCCGGGTCCCGGCCGTGGCGGCTGTAGTAGCTGAGAGCTCCGGGGCAGGGGGGGCCCAGGGAGGGGCGGTCGCTCGCCCACTGCCACTCGCCTGCAAGAGAGGAGGGTGCTCAGCTGCCGCCACCGCCGCCGCCCGGCCCCCGCAGGCCCCGGCGCTCACCGGCGGCCCCGGCGCGGCCCCAGGTGACGGTGCTGAGGAAGGTGTTGAGCGCCGCCCGCGGGCCCTGCCCCGACACCGCGTCCGCCGCCACCACCGTGTTGTTCAGGTCCACGTGTAGCACCAGCCGCCGCCGCCGCCCGGCCCCGCCGCTCATCGCCCCGGAACCGGCCCCGC